GCAATCCACTCATCTCAGCCTCCCAAAGGCGTGGGATTACAGGCTGAGCCACCGAGCCCGGCTAGATTTTTTTTTTTAAAAGAACAAATGGCTTCCAGGAACTGCAGGATTGTAAACCGTCAACTTCAGAAGGGGGGGTTTTAGATAAGACTCTTTTCCATTTCCATGAAATAGCCAGCCTCTGGGCCATTTGGCCTTTCTTAAACAAAACTTGCCTGGGCTCCTGGGGGGTCTTTAAAGTTGCAACTTGCCTTTCAAAAGGAAATACCTTTAACTGCTATCAACTTCTTTCCTGCCCTGGGCTAGTGGTTGCCATGAGGCCAACTGCTGATCCTGAATCAGCTACATGTGTTTCTGTGTTTATTCACTCAATCATACAAGAAATATATTTGAGCATTTACCTCATCCTGCCACATCTTGAACCTAGGAGTTTGAGGCTGTGATGAGCCTGTCATTGTGCCCCTGTACTCCAGCCTGAGTGACAAAGTGAGACCCTGAGTCAAAAAACAAACCAACAACAACAACAATGAAGAAAAAACAGAAACAGTCTAAGGAAAAAAAATGTAGACTTTTAGAAGTTAATACCAAGGAGCATTAAACTGCAGGTTGGGTAAAATAAATGTTTATTTCATGTCCAATAGAGCTAAATATGACCAGGAATAAAGGGGACAGGCCCTAAATAGTGTATATTGAGAGAACTATGTTTCTCCTATTTAAGACCATAAACATCTAGCCAGGCTCGGTGGCTCAGCCTGTAATCCCGCACTTTGGGAGGCTGAGGTGAGTGGACTGCCTGAGCCCATGGGTTCGAGACCCACCTGGGCAACTTGGCGAGACCTCATTTCTACAAGAAATCAAAAATTAGCCGGGCGTGGTAGGGCGCGCCTGTAGTTCCAGCTACTTGGAAGGCTGAGGCGGAGGATCGCCAGAGCCCAGCAGGTCGAGGCTGCCGTAGCCAGGAGTATGCCACTACACTCTAGTCTGGGCGACAGAGTGAGACTCCAACTCCAAAAAAAAAAAAAAAAAAAAGACTGTAAAAATCTACTATGTTAAAAAGTTAGCATTGGTAGAATTTGTCATTAAAAGATCCATTACGTTCCTAATGTTAAAAATAGTGTTCCATTAAGAGCAGGATCAGTTTCTCAAAGTGAAGTCACTTTGAAGGTAAATATGTGTCTTGGGGCACTTGAAAAAGGTATGGGATGTGTGGTATGATGGTGATAAGGGGAACTGCTGCCAAAATGGATCCCTGGGGACTGGGCGTGGCAGCTCAAGCCTGTAATCCCAGTACTTTGGGAGGTTGAGGTGACAGGATTGCCTGAACTCAGGGGTTTGAGACCTGCCTGAGCAACTTAGCTGGTCTCTACAATAAATCAAAAAAATAAGCCAGGCATGGTAGTGTGCGCCTATAGTTCCAGCTACTTGGAAGACTGAGGTAGAAGGATTGCATGAGCCCAGCAGGTTGATGCTGCAGTGGCCGAGAGTGTGCCACTGCCCTCCAGCCTGGGCAATGGAGTGAGACTCTGACTCCAAAAAAAAAAAGAAAATGGATCCCCATTGGGAAGATGAAAGAGCATGTGTCCGTTGCCCAGAAGAAGATGATACACTTGTTAGGGGAATTTGCATGGCATGCACCCTGTAATTGGTAGCTAGAAGTCACTGCTTTAGTGTGTTTGTGCTGCTCTAACAGAATACCACAAACTGGGTAATTTATAAAGAACAGAAATTTCTCAGAGTTCTGGAGGCTAGGAAGTCCATGTAGGTTCAGGTTGGGTGTGTCTGGTAAGGGTCTGGTCAAGGAGTACTATGCTGGAATGCAGGAACACCTGAAGCAGCCCCTCCCTCAAAACTGTTCTGCCTCCAAGGCCTAGCACTGTGGGCCTGTGATAGGTGTGACAACCTCCCACCCCATCCCCAAGTCTCCAAAATGCCTTGGGGGGTTATTCCCTCATTGTCTTGATGAATAGCATCTAGCTTCCTTCTATCTTAATCATTTGGAGCTTGACCCTTGGTTTTTCTCTCCTAAATAAGTTTTAAAAATTCTTTAAGTGGCTAGGCTGAGAATTTTCCGAATCACAGCTTTCACTTTATTTGTTAATTCATTAAGCTATTCAATTGTTCTGTATAGTTTGTGAAGGAGGCCCGAGTTCGAGCAGCCACATCTGAGAATAGCTGTGCGGGCTGCCCTGCTTCTGTGGATGCAGTTCAGAAATCCCGAGGCTCAAACTGCTCGAGTTTCTCCCGGAGCTGCTGTTTTAGAAGCTGGCTATGTCTGTGGCCAGCTGCAAGCCATCTTGGAAGCTGGCTTTGGCCTGCCATAGACTATGAAGAACCAGGATTCCAAGCCGTCCAGCAGGTCCTGGAGGGTCTTGGAGGGCTCTGGGTCTGGGATCCTAGTGGGGCCCGCATGCCTGTGCAGAGCTGCCTAGCAGGGCCCCACTTCCTGTGGGTCTGGGTGCCAGCTCTCACCATCCTGAACATCTGGAATCTGTCCTGGCCTTGCTGGTGGGGATGCAGACCTGGGACTCCATGCGGGGCGCATACTACAGGAGTCCCACGAACTTGGCACTCTGGTGCAGAGCACCTTGGCTAGTGAGAGCTAGCCTTCCTCCACCCAGGCGTTCAGCACTACCTGCTTCGCCTCCAGGTCCTTGAACAGCTGCAGGAGCACTGAGTCGAACTCTGCCCGCAGGTCAGAGCCACCATGGGTGCATATCAGGTGCCAGCCAAATCTTTTCTACTTCCCTTTTAAGTATAAATGCCAGCTTTAAGTTGTTTCTCTCCTCAGATGTTACTATAAGCCATTAAGAGATGCCATGCAGGATCCTGCTTAGAGATTTCTTCTGCCAAATATCCTAGTTCACGGCTCTAGAACTTTGTGGAAGTCTGTTTTCCACAAAGCCCTAGGACATAGACTAATTCAGTCAAGTTCTTTGCTGCAAGTGCAGACAAAGATGCAGAGTGATTGAAGAAAATTTATTAGAGAGAAAGTAAAGAAAGGCTGGCCCTAAAGAGGAACCAGCAGCTTTATTCTCTTGCAGGCCCTTTATAAAACCCCAGTCTATTGGCTCTGAGAAGCAGTTTAGGGAGTTTGAGCTGTCATCTGGCCTTGAGATGCAGATATTGGCACTGCTGGGGGCTGCTGGTTTCATGGCCTTGAAGTGCAGATGGCCTTGAAGTGCAGATGTCTGCAATAAACCAGTCACTATCAGGATGTTGTTAATCACTTGTCTCTGAAATGCAGCCTTAGGAAAGCAAACACTGACAGTCAGTACCTGGCTGTTATCAGTCACATAGCTTGGGATGAGGTCTAGGGAAGGCAGATATTGGCAGTAAAGCAATTAGTACCAGGACGTTGTTAGAACAGAGTGTTAACTTTGTGGGCTCTTGTAACTCTGTGCTCTGTGAGGTTTATATGGTGAATTGTTTTTAACTACAACCTTGTCTCCCATCCCCCTACAAACCCTGTCAGTAATAAGGATGGCCTTTCCCCCAATTTCCAATAAGATATTCATTATTTTTGTTTGAGACCTCATAGTCTTCACTGTCCATATTTCCACCAATATTCTGTTCAGAACCATTTAAATAATTTCTGAGAAGCATCAGATTTTCCCTACAGCTTTTCTCTTCTTTTGAGCCCTCTTCAGAATTACCCTAATGCTCCATTGATGACAATACAGGCTTTTTGGAGCATTTGCTTCAAAACTTTTCCACCCTCTGCCCATTGTCCAGTCTCAGGCATTTTGTTGCAGCAGCACAAAATGGACTGAGACAGTTACCTTCCATGCTGTGTTTCCAATCCATCTTCAACCAGATTTGAGAAGAAAAGGGAGACCTAGAGAGGGGAGGGAGGAGTGTTTTCAAGGTCACGGGTCTACTGGATTCCCTAAATGTTAGAGCATAGTGGGAATGATATCACGGTTTGTATATTTACCCTAGACAAGGGAGAACAAACGAAAAGGGGACCATCTCTAAGGTATTAAGTAATGCCTAC